ATACGAATTTGCCTGTTGGCTGGCATCTTGCACTTACGTAACCAGCCAGACCTGGTTGTTGAATCTCTGTGGAGACTGTAGGCTGCTGGTGGGTGCTGCGGGTGTGTGCACGACCACTCCGGTTGATTGTTGTGTGCCACTGCATACCGCAACAACTATCGCTGACGATGCGGACCACTGCTACGTGCGAGTGTTTGCTCTTGCCGCAGGCTGCACATCGGTTGCTGGCTGTTAAGGCGGGCTGCACACGGGTTGTTACTGTTGACTTTGCGCAGCTGCGGCCCTTGATTGCTCCCAGGCTGTGACAAACGGGTGGAGACCGCGTACTGCTAGCACCTGCTGTTGATCGTTGCGTATTAGTGCGTGCCGCGGCGATTATTGCTGACTGTTGCAATTTGCGGAGCCACGACGGATATACTTGGGGAGGTGAGAGCTTTAGAGAGAGGGGTTATTGCTGCGAAACGGGGAGTCGTCAGATGTGCGACTTCAACAGCTCATTCAGAGTTGGTCAAGTGGACACATTGGCCACCGTTGCGGGGCCCTTAGGCGCTGAAGAATTGAAGGCCCTCTCCTGCGAGTCTGAGTGCACCTCTCTTGAATCAGAGAGTCTAAAATCTTCCTTCCTCTGCCTTTTTTACTCTAAGTCAGGTCTGTGGTTTTGAGAGGAAGGCGGCAGGTGGGATTGCAACCCAAAACCCGCGCCAAGGCCTCTGTGGGAGGTTTGCCTCACGGATTGCGGGAGCTCAGCCAGGACTTAGGAGGAGTCCTGGCGGCAGAGAATTGTACGGTAATCTTACTCTTGCATTTTATACACCTGGAGTATAGCCACTACCCGTACGCCCTTCTACGTTTGAGTGGTTATGCGGTGTGTCCCCTGTATCTTCACTTTGGATTGACTTTCAGGACAAATATCAGACGAAAATAAAGGAATGTGCGTGCATATTTCAGTTTCAGACTTTGATTGGTTGCCTGAAAGCAGACTGTGAACAGAAGGGGTCGCATCTGAGGGAAGGCTGGGAGGAAGGCAGTATTGTGTGCAGGCTGATTGGGTCGTCAAGGCTGGGAGGTCCCCATAAGTTTGGGGAAGCCCAGCACTTTGTTTATTTTTCGATTGCATGGAGCCTCAGACCGCTTTATAAGTTTAGGCGGCCTGAAGCTCTGGCGGCTGGGATGTGCAGGCTGATTGGNTGGGGAAGCCCAACACTTTGTTTATTTTTCGATTGCATGGAGCCTCAGACCGCTTTATAAGTTTAGGCGGCCTGAAGCTCTGGCGGCTGGGATGTCCCCATAAGTTTGGGAAGACTTGGTGCTGTGAATGGCATGGAGGGTCAGGACGCTCTATAAGTTTAGGTGTCCTGACTGCTCTGACTTGTGAGGAGTTTGACTGTGATTAACTTTCAGGAACTCAGGGCGCTCAATAAGTTTTTGTGCCTTGAGTTGTCTTGGTTTCTTTGGGTTTTCCTGAGTTTCTTTTTTTTCTGAACGAGGAGGTCTGAACCGCTCTATAAGTTTAGGTGGTTCGGCCCTTTTCCTGTTTTATTCTGAGGGATTAATTTTGGCAGGGGACAGGCCGCTCTATAAGTTTAGGTGGCCTGGCCTACTGCCTCGCACAGACTGGATCAGAGAGAAATGAACCTGGCAGAGGGTTAGACCGCTCTATAAGTTTAGGTAGTCTGACCCAATGCCTCTCATACGTTGGAACCCAATGGTATAAACTGGCTATACTGTATTATTATCTTATCTACGAACAGGCTAGTCAGGCGTGGGTTCCATAAGATTGGACAGCCTGACTATAGCTTATCGTAAATGAAGAGAGTATAACTAAAGAGATATAACTAAAGGTAAACTTGGGCAGGTTGAGCAACGTTCTAAGATGAGCGGCTCAGCCCTATGTCCATTTGGAAAATTAAGTGCAGAGAGGTATATATAACTTGGCTAATTAAACAGTTCAGGGCGACAAGAATGGTCTAGTCATGTGCCCAAAGAAGAGAAAAGTAGTAGTGCCTTTTGTTTGTGTATACTTGGCTAAGTCAGAACACTCTATTAGTTTAGGTATTTTGACTTTAGGCCTGGCTAGGTTGGACGCGCTCTGTAAGTCCAGGTGGCCTGACCTATGCCTTATGTAAGTCGGGTATAAAGGGGTAAATCATTGAGAGATCATGAACTATTGTTTGCTCATGTTGACTTGGGGATGGAGAGAGTACTTACCTTTGTGGTTTGGCCTGCATGCGACTGGGTGAGGCTACTACTTGGTTGGAGTTTCAGTTTGATAGGTAGTTGCTTTAGTCGTTCGCCACGTGCTAGAGCCATAGGAGTTAATTTCAATTCCTGCATTTTCTAAGCTAAGTTTTGTTGCTTAGATCAATTTTCGCATTTTCTGGGATCTTTTGTTACACTTGGCTTTGTATGAATCTTGACAAGCTACTTTCTCTACGGGAAGCGCTACCGAAAATTCTACAAATCCAAGGAGTTAGTCAACTTTCGACTTGTCAAAGTTCAACTTATCTATTATTTATATCTGACGTAGTAAAAATTTAGAAAGCCTTCTTTTCTAAAGGGAGTGCTGCCCTAATTTTTGCTAATTCAGAGAGTTAGATAAAATTGGACTTCGAGAAGTCAAAGTTATTTTCAGATTCTGAACTTAGCCTTGTATAAATTTTAGAATAACACTTTTCTAAAGGGAGTGCTGCCAAATTTTTTGCAAAACTAAGGAGTTTGTTAAATCTTGTCTAAATTGGACTCAAGGTTGTTTTTGAGTTCGAATCTGACTTTGTATAAATCAGGGGAGTCTTTCTTTCTAAAGGGAATGCTGTCTAAATTTTTACTAATTAAGGGAGTTAGACAAAATTTGACTTTCCTGAGTTGGAGTTTATTTCTGCTTTCATAGTTGGGTTGATATAAATTTTGAAAAGACACTTTTCCTACGGGAAGCGATGCCGAAATTTTCTAAGTTTAGAGTAGATAGAATTTATTTTAACAGGTGGCTATTCTGGCAATCCACTGTGTATAGAGGAGATTACGCCAGGGTCTACCCTTGATTTGGGCACTACTTAAAGGTAGATTCAAGCTTAGTCAATTAGAAAGATTTTGGGTGAGAATGTGTCATGGAGTTGTATTCTCCATACACTTATGATTTTAACTTGGGGATTGACCTGTCTCATGGTACAGGCTTCCGCTAGACCGTTCGATTCGGGACTTGGACTAGTTTTATCTTGATCCCCTGAGGATCATCTTCTGTTATCACTGATAAGAGATTGGTTGAAGACTCGTCGGTTTATGATTCAACTCCAATTCACTCCTGCCACTTAACCTAAAGGCTTTAGCCCTGTGATTTGAACTGTTTTGGTGTGTTTTTACCCGGACTTTATTGAACGGCCATCCAACAAAAGTACTGAGTATTTATTTAAGAGTTGCACGAGTGAGGCTTGTATGGCTAAAGCGAGGGGTATGAGTGCAAGGAATGGTAAAAGTTGACCATATGTAGTGTGTGGACTTCAGGATAAATCTTTGATGTGATTGCAGGTGCGCTTGTGGTTCGGACTCTGGATGTGATTGCCTGCGATTACATATTTATATGGCTTAGAGGAGCCTCACTGTGACTGTGAGAAGTGATCGTCCTATAAGAATTAACCCTTATATATCTATAAGTGCCCTGAGTATTTGAGCGGCCTATTGTAATTGAGCATAAGGGTTAACCAGATTGTGTCTCGAGAGAAAAGGGGGATTCCCTTTTCACCCTTGCTTTTAAAAGTTTGTGTGGTTGGATGTTGTAGTCCGTGGCAGCCGTCAAAGTCAAACCCCTTGACTTTCGCCCAGGCCTGGGGTAGGACCTATCCCCGGGGCCGCGAGAAACGACTACCACCACAAGTTTGGACCTGTGTACCACCCGCTCTGCATAAGGTGCAAAAGAGGGTGTGTGATCTTCAACCGCGCATGGCAGTTGTCCAGCGTCGAGAGATTAACCCTCAAGGCGTGTGTCAGCCGACACTTGAGTGTCGAACGCGACCCTCGAGATTAGCGAGGACCGCGCGAATATGGTTAATACATAGTATGCCATCATAGAGACTGCTTGCCTGTGCTCGCATTGCGAGTCGATATGAGTTAGCCCTGCGTCCGCGCAGGTTTATACTAAAGTCTCGCGCGCAACGCCTACCCGATTTCCGCATCGGAAAGTTATAGGTTGGCTACCTAGGGGCTAGGAGCGTTGTCGCGTTGTTTGTGTTGTGTCGTGTTGTATGTGCGTGTGTGTGTGTTTTATTTTTGTGTTTGTAAGGTGGTGTGCGCGTGGTGTGTGGGATGCGTCCTAGTCGACCGACGACGAGCCACGCTTGGGACTTCAGCCCCCCCAAGATGTCGGTTCGCGTGTGGGCCCGATAGGCGTATCACTGCGCGTACCCCCTATGCTACAGCGAACGAGAAACGCCCTCGGCTGGGCCACCTCTGCGATTGCAACTGATGAGCTTTCGTACTGTGGATTGTTAGCTCGGCGGGGATACACCCACCGAAGGGAGGTGACAGCTCCCGTAAGATGGAGGTAAGTTGTGCCTCGCGTAGGCCCTATCCTGTCGTAGGGGCTCGTGAGAGGTATGGCTGGCGCACTCGGCCGGAGCGGCCTAAGGAAGCTCCTTTTGTGCGTTCGTGATGAGGTTGGTCCAACTCCTGCGTGACGCGGCCGAGAGGGTCCCGCGCTGCCGCGTGCGGTGCCGGACCGATGCGCTCGACAGCGTGGTTTCCTATCCCTAACATCCTCCTCCAAGATACGGCCCGCCGTTCCTCTATCCGGCGGACGGGTTGGAGGCGGATCGTCCGCCGTCGAAGTGGTCAGCGCACGTGCCCCCCCTGCGGCGGTCTCCGTCCGCTGTGTCGATGCACCAGTCACGCTAGCAATGCGTTGTGTTGAAGGGCCGGCCACATTACTATCCAAACGCGATCTGCGAATCCCGCCCCGACCCCAACCTGCTGTATCCACCTCAACATCTCCCCCTCACGGCAACGGTGGAGGTCTCATAGATGCGGGTATGGCAACTAATCCTGGCTGCATGTCTCGCATCGCCTGAGTGACCTTCCTCACAGAGCCTAAACCATGCGGCCGAGTCTTCATTCGCGACTGCAGAGAAAGACTGTGTAAACCTCTACCCTCCGCCAGCTGTGTCCCTCCTACAGATGAACGACTCTCTGATCCCCCACGACCATTATCCCACGACCTCTTATTTGCCGCACATGCGGCCCTAATGCTCTGCATCTGTGCCATAGGATCCCAAGGGGGAGGGCTGACGCCTGTCATGGAGGAGGGCACTGACGGGCTACATGGTGCATATGGTGGGGGGTCTCCCAAAGCTCTCCGACTGGTATCCTCCATCCGCTCCCGCCGATCAGCCGTAAGAGGATCCTCTCTACCTTCGCACTCCAAGACTGCAGCGGGCATGGCGCCACCTAAAAGAAACACAAAAATACCCTCCGCAAGCGCGTCAGGGTGGTCGGCGACCACTGAATCGACTCGCTGCTCGCAAGGTGCGTCAACTGCACGCTGCTGCATTTCTGCAGCATATGCACTACCTCGTCCCTCATCCATTTGCTCCCCTCCACCTGCGGGCTATTTGTCCTCCTCGCATCCATCATGAAGACAGACTGCCTCAAATCCTCTGTGAGGTCCACCCCCTCCACCGACAGGCCCATCACCACCTCCCTCCACATCGTCATCCTCTCCACCAATCGGTCGAAGTCCCGGTCTTCAAACACCGCCATCGCCCTGCGCGGGTCGGGAGGCGTCCCCCTCCTCAACCTCGTCGACACCATGCGTCCGCACCCCCGTGCCACAGCTGTGAGGAACATCCGTCTTGGCGACGAGTGCGACGCCCGTCTCAAGGGCGCGAGCAGCATCCAAACTCGCTTTGATGTCCTGTGTCACAGGGCATGACTGAGCAAGCGCTAGCGCTCGCTGTCTCTCCTCTCGGTCCCTCCTGTCCGCATCCGTCTCCACATCCGTATCCTACACGAGCGAAAAAAGGGCAGCATCCCCTGTGCTCTGAATGGGCTGGCTGGCCGTACCCTCCATCCCCTGAGCCGCCTCCATTAACAAACTGCTCGAGACACCCCCGTCAGTATCCAATCCTCGTACAATCTGGTTGGTGGGTGTATTGCCCGCGGCAACGGGGGTCTGTCTAGCATTACCGACAGTCGGCGGAGGTCCCATCGACATACCCAAAATATCGGACAACGAGCCGGGCGCCGCGACGAAATCCCCTGTAGTGGCCAGAAGGCCGTGGCCAGCCTCAGATCTCCCCCCATGAGGTGAAAGTGGAATTTGTCCCCCCGATCCTCCGTCTCCTCCACCCCTGGCTGACCCCCCTGCCCCACGACCCCTCTCCTCCACCAACCTAGCAGAATGTCGCTGACTGTGCTGCTCCTCGACAACAATGTCTCGAGGACCCTCACCACCTCCCCTTGGGGTGTCGCCCGCACCGCTGTCGAAATCCATGTCGTCCTCAGACTCGCTGCTGCCCTCGTACCCTCCATCATCGTCGTTGCTGTCGGAGTCGATGGAAGTGTGCTGTCGCTGTCGAATGGACAGGCCCTGACACTGTGCATCTGCACAACCTGGCCTCCCAAGCACTGCAGGTCCAGGCGCAACACCATCCCGCGGGCGAGGGGTCATCAGGATCAGACCAAGGCTCCTCCTCAATCTCATCCTGCGCGAGAGGGTCAGGCTCTGGGTCGTACACCTTGTCCTCCTCGTGTGGTAGGAGAATAGTCGCTCACCTGGCAAAATATCTCTCCACGGTCGCAGGCTGTCAAGTGAGAGAGTCCTTCCGCCCCTTCCGCACCTACCTGTCCACCTGCTCATCAGTAACCTTGTCCGCAGGGCGGACTCCTGAGTCACGTGGCTCCGGTCTCTCGTCCTCCATGACGACATCCTCGTCCTCCCATGGGAGAACGTTTCCCACCCCCCTCGTGTGGCATCGAAGCAGTCTCAAATTGGTGGATATCTCGACCAAACGAGTGAGCTTGGTAAAACCAAGCTTGTTTCGCCGCTTCACCTGAATGCGCTCGTCGACATCCCAGTTCCTCTCCGCAGGAGAGGCACATGTCCACGTGTGCATCAGGCGAACTGCGATACTCTGCAACAGAGGCACACCGTCCCCCCACTGCACCCACCACTGAGCAACCGCCGATGCCTCCTTCTCCCCCCTGCAAGTGTCCGCATTTCGGTCCCCGTCACGACCGCCATACGCACAATCGCCCTCTTGACTATGGAACTCCCTCAAAGCTGTCCTCAAATCCTAGTACAATTGTCTGTCCGGTCCTGCCTGCTGATGAAGGTAAATGTCAGCCTCCTCTGCCAACTCCCTCTCGTGGTCTGTCCTGCGTGCCCCCTCAAAGTATGCAATACTCCTGTGCCGTGGGTTAAGCAGGTGGGCCATGCAATGAGCAGGCTCCAACATATGCCTCCTCCGCGCCTGCAAACCTCTGACAAGGGCGTCCAACTCTGCACGGCTGGTGCGTCGGGTAGGCGCCTGTGCAACCCTCTGAATTACCTCTCCAACCATGACCACAAGCGCGACATCACATGCCCCCCACGGTCGAGTCTGCGCAACAACTCCATGACAGGTGTCATGAACTCCACAATGTCCTGGACATCATCCCAAAAGGCAGTGAATCTGATCTGTTGCCGCACCCACCTCGATTGAAGCCACAAGCTCCGTCTCCACGGCTGTCGCAACCACTCGTCGCTGATTATCATCTCCTCGAGCGCGTGACGTCGCTCCAACAGCCGCTCCAACATCAGGTAATGTGTAGCGAATCTGGTCTGCACTGGGCAAATGAGCTTCCGACCGCGACCAGAGGTGCCGCTAGAAGCCGACGACGACGCTGTCTGCCCTTTGGCGGTGTGACGTGCGGAGAATCGCCTGAAAAAGGCGAGGGCGGCCCCGTGTGACCGAATGAATCGCACGACAGCCCTCGCTCTGATGATCGTGTCCTCCCTGTGTCCAACGACACCATCTCATCCATCCTTCCCAATGTCCGACAATATCAGGTTGCAGACATGCACCGCACACGGGAGCCAAGTGATGCGACTGTATCGAAGATCCTTGTCCTTCGCAAGGAGCTTCGCGCCCGCGACGTATATCCCCACAGAGTCCGTACAAGTTGCATTCACATTTTCGAGGCCGAAGTCATTGAGCACCTTCTTCAACTGCCTCACAACCACAGTCGCCGTGTCCTGCTCAGTACCAACCCTCTGCACTATCCTCAGTAGGTACGCCCCCGAAGACCCGACTGCCAAAAAGTTGACTATTTGATCAGCAATGATGGATTTGCGACCATCGGTGAGGATGGTAGCTCCTGTTGCCGCCACATCTCTCCTCTGTGTCGCGAGCATCTCCGCAACGTCCTTGTGCTGCTGCACAATACCATCGCCAGAGATGCGGGGAAGGTTGGGAAGAGTCGGATGCACTCGAGAGGGGCATGTCGCGAGGTACCTCCTGAAGGTGTTGTACTCTGGCCTCCCTGCCGCGTGAAACGGGATGCTGCTAACATAAAACCACTGTAGGAAATAGGCGTCCAGGTCCTGCTGCCATTTAGGGTCGAAAGACTCCTCCATGCGCGACTGACGAAACTTCTTCGCGGCTCCTGTCGGCGGAAGGGGCTGCGAAGAAGTCCTCCTCTTCGTCGACGTCCCAATGCCAGTGACCGCTCTCTTATCTCCCCTCAACGCTCCGCAGTCACGCTCCTCCTCCCTCTCAACATCGATCGGAACCTCCGCGGACCCGTCGTCGTCAGCCCGACGACCACCCTGGACACCTCCACTCTCAGGCGCCTCACAATCCCTTCCAGCCTGCTCGTTCTCTTCCTCCGCCACTCGCTCAGGGTCATCTTCATCTTCCTCTCCCAAGTCTCCCCCTTGTTGACCATGTTCTCGTCTCTTGTCTGCCCACCCCCTCTCCGCAAGGTACGCCTGTATCTTCTTCCAATGGCTCTGATCAAAGTGGTAAGCACTCTTGTTCCAGATCTCAGCCAAAACGTCCAACGTGGCTTGCGGGCAGTTGTTCTTGATTGTGTAGTGCAACGCGCACTTACTCTAACTGCCGACGAATTCCTGGTCACACAACTTGCACTTCATGACGAAGTTCCCATTCCGCCCTGGCAGCGTCAGGCCATTCTGCATCCATTTGAAACCAACGAACTTCAACTCTGTATCTCTCTGCCTGTCTCTGTTAACAGGGATGCATTCTCCCTATGTTCCCCGACGCTTGGGCGACATCTTGCTCGATGCCCCAACAGACCGCCGCCGTGGACCGACCTCTCTCGCGGCAACCCCCGCGTTGTGGCCCCCCTCCCGAAGTGCCCCTCCGTTGTTGCCAGCAGGCCTGCCTGCCAGTCCCCAGCACGCTCCAGGCCCAGCGACGCCGGCCCCGGCCCACAGCGCGCGCGGAACGGCCTCCCCCGCTATGCAACACGTTTAAGCGTACGCGACGTACGTACGCGCGTAGGGGTCGTACGTGCCGTACGTACGCGCGTAGGGGCCGTACGTGCCGTACGTACGCGCGTACGGGTCGTACGTATGACGGACCCTGCCGTTCGATCTCTCTCTCTCTCTCTCTCTCTCTCTCTCTCTCTCTCTCTCTCTCTCTCTCTCTCTCTCTCTCTCTCTCGCTCACTCGCTCGCTCGCTCGCGCTCACGCGCACGTGCCATGGTGACGTCTTCGGCGCGGCAGATTCCTCTCTCTCTCTCTCTCTCTCTCCCTCTCTCTCTCGCGCGCGCGCGCGCGTGCGCGCGCGCGTGCGCGCCTTGGCGGTGTGTACAGCACAGCAGGTACGT